TTCTCCCCAGGCTGCGCCCCAGCTGTCCTCTGGCTGTGCCTCCTACATTTGCACCAATGCTATTACTTGGATAATTTAAAAAACAAAAACCAGTAAAGAGCCCTGGCTGGCGTAGCTCAGTGGATTGAGCGTGGGCTGTGAACCAAAGCGTCGCAGGTTCGATTCCCAGTCAGGGCACATGCCTGGGTTGCAGGCCATGGCCCCCAGCAACCGCACATTGATGTCTCTCTCTTTCTCCCTCCCTTCTCTCTCTCAAAATAAATACATAAAATCTAAAAAAAAAACAGTAAAGAAAGAACACCACTGACCCTTCATCTTCATGCCTGATTGTCCCTGTTAGGGGGAATCTTGGAGCTCGTCTAGCCTGGTCCCCTCCATTTAACCTCGTGGGGAGCAGGATAGGGGACATGAAGGGACATGATGAGGGCCACCATGCAGGTGGGCTGGACCTCCAGGCCCTCAACGGCAAACTGGAGCCCTTGAATTTAACCCCTTTCTAACCTTGAGTGTCCATCACCAGTTAGAACAGGTGTGGAGTGTCTCCAACTCTGACTGGTTTATGACTGTAGTTTCCACGTACCCAGTACTGTTGGTGAAAATAATCCAAGTGTCAAACAAATATGGAATGTTGTGATGAATTTTTTTAAATCCTCGTCTGAGGATGTGTTTATTGATTTTAGAGAAGGAGGAAGGGAAAGAGAGAGTGAGAAAGAAACATCCATGTGAGGGAGAAGCATCCATCAGTTGCTTCCTGTATGTGCCCCAGTCAGGGATCGAACCCACTGTGTAGGTACGTGCCATGACTGGGGATTGAACCCGCAACCTTTCGGTGCACGGGACAACACTCCAACCAACGGAGCCACCTGGTAAGGGCAGGGCGGTGAGATGAAATTAGGCGCTCAGAAGATTAGTTACCATTCTGTACAGCATTAAGGAACTAAAATTAGACCTTCAAAAGATCATCAACTTTAATCTGTAAATCTGTGCCATGCCCAACACCCTGCTTGGACCGAACACTACCGTTTGCCTCCCTCTTTTTCCTTTGGAACAAAAACTGTCTGTCTGCAGTGGTTTCTTCTGCTGATTGGTGGTTCCAGTGTGAGCTCGCCACCATTGCATTGCAGGGATCGATGCAAGCGTCTTTGTTGTACGAATCTACCCCCTCTTGTTTTCAAGAAGTCCTTAGCATTTTAGCCTAAACCTCCAGTTTTTTTGTCGTGCATGGGACTCTGCGTGATGCCGTGTTGTGGCCACAGAGCAAAGACGCCCTGACTCTAAATCACGACCTTCCCGACGTCTTGCTTTGCTGACGAATTCCGAAAGGCGCGGAGCATCCGGTGAACTTGGCAGCGCGGCCGCCGCGTTCGCGCTGAAGACTTCCCGTCCTCGGCTTAGAAAAATAAACCGGCGCAACACAGATGCAAGCGTGTTTGGGAGTCCGTGCAAAACAGCACATTTCTCCATCTCCCTCTCCTCTCGGAAGGCTGCGCTGGGGCAGCCTGCAGGATCTCAAGCACACAGACGAGCTGTTTCCCGCGAGAAAGCTGGAGGGGGAGAAAGACCTTGCATAAACAGGAACGCGTTCCTGACTGAGTTTCTGGACTTTGTCAGGTGGGGTGGTGTCTTATGGCCAAATTGGGAAGAGCTGCTAATGCTTCTCTCTCTCTCTCTCTCTCTCTTTCTTTTCTTTCCTCCTCCTCCTCCTTCTTTTCTTTTCTCTTTTCTTTTTTTTCTTTTTTTTTGGCTACTGAGTTGATACACATTCAGGCATGAGGGATATACACAGATTTGCCAGGAACTCAGTTCTGGTCTCCAAGGTCGGCAACAAAGGCCGCCTCCCTGCCCCCCTAATTCGCCTCGGTGCTGGCGTTCGCAGGGCCTGGGTGGGCCGGGCTATGCCTCTCGGGAGGCACTGGAATGGCCAGGGCGTGGCCTGGCTGCCCGCCGAAGGCTGCGGAGGCGGGGAGGGACTCGGGGCCAAGGGGCAAGGGGTCACAGCGCTGATGTAGGTGCAGGCCGACCCCAGCCAGGTGCCTGGAGAGTGTAGACACTTGGCAGCCGCTGAGGGGAACACGGCAGGCTCCCAGCTCGTCCGTTTGGAAAATGGGAAAATAAAAACAGGGATTCCTGAAGGAACCCTGCCCTGCCCTGATCACTGTATGTAAAACTGCAATTGGACCCTGACTGCTGTGGCTCAGTGGGTCCGGCAGCGTCCCGCAAAGCGAAAGGTCGCTGGTTCGATTCCTGGTCAGGGCACAGGACTGAGTTGTGGGTTCGGTCCCTGGAGAGGGCGCATAGGAGGGGCAACCGATGGATGTTTCTCTCCTTCTCTTTCTCCCTCCCTCCCTCTTTGTCTAAAAATAAACAAGTAAAATCTTTTTTTTTAAAAAACTGCAATTTGTGCCCCCTCCCCGACACTTACTTCCCAGCTCCTTCTCCTGTATGACACAATCATTTACTCGTGTGTCACATTCGTTTTCTGCCTCCCTAGTCAGACTGTAGATGCTATGGGGAAAATGGTTCCTGACTGCTGGATTCTCTATGTGGAAACCGGCCTCGGTGCATAGTAGGTGCTTAACTAACAGATGCTGACTGAGTGACTGAATAGACTCTACGAACCCCAAGGACTCTGGATACTCCCCCTGTGCCACTTCCGTCAATCAACTCACTCACTGGTCCTTCGTGTGAAGGCCAAACGTGCCCTTGCTCTGCCAGAAAGGTGCCCGTGAGTGTTAGCCCGGAAGAGGCTGTGGGAGGGGGGCATCTTTCCCGTCAGGGTCAAAGTGCAGACTCCAGGGCCCTCTCCGAGAGAAGCGTGAGGACTCGCTTCATAGGGGTTCTCCTTCCCGGGAGTGGAAGGGAGACGTATCTGTTCCAGAGAGACCTTGTCCCCCGTGGCTCCCCACGCTGCTGCCGGGCACTGATGAGAGCCGCGGGAGTGTGTGTAGGAGGGGAGGAGGGAGGGGAGGAGGAGGAGGGAGGGGCGGCGAGGTCAGCTCCTGCAGGGGGCTGCGGAGGCGCGGCCTGGCAGGGGGCCCGTGGGGAAGGAGGGAGCGGCCGCTGCTGCCCGCGCGTCTTCGGCGTGGTGTGTGGCTCCGTTCTCGCCGCGGACAGAGATGAGTGTCTCACGGGTTGGGCTCGGACTGCACTGGGACCAGCGTCTAAACTGGCATACCGAATTTCTGGGAGATTCGCATTATATATATATTTTTTATTATTTATTTTTTTGTATTTTTAAAAAAGATTTTATTTATTTATTTTTAGAGAGGGAAGGGAGGGAGATAGAGAGAAACCTCAATGTGCGGTTGCTGGGGGCCATGGCCTGCAACCCAGGCATGTGCCTTGGCTGGGAATCGAACCTGCAACACTTTGGTTCGCAGCCCACGCTCAATCTGCTGAGCTACGCCAGCCAGGGCCTTATATATATATTTTTAAATGGGTGACGCGTCCCTTTGGAGGCCCAGGGGCCCCGTTCCCTCCTGCGGGTGCCTGTCCCCGGGATGCCAGCCTCGGTCACAGGGTGGCCTCAGCCCTTCCCGGGGGGGATCTCGAGCCCGGGGGCAAACCCTCCTTGACTCGCCTTCTCAGATTCGCTTCCTCCTGCCCAAGTCCCAGGCTTCCTTCCGCCCGAGGCGGAGGCGGGGAGATGGCCGCCCCCCACGCTCGGATCCTCGGTCCCTGGAAGGGCCGTCGGGATTCTGCCCGGTCTGTCCCCAGAGCCGCGGCAGCCGGGACGCCGGCCGGCAGCGGGATGTGTGCTGGCCACTTCTCCCCGGGCCCCCGGCTGTGCCCTGGGCAGGGCACTCCCCGGGCTGGCCTCCCCACCACGTCCCTTCCCTTGGGCTACTGATTCTTACCGGCCCTGACCTCTCTGGTCACCCCCTGTCCCGGGAGGGATCCCATGCCACCCAGCCTCCCGCCGTTTAAGAAGTCACCTCCCACCTGGGGGACAGCGTCAGTGCGTGTTCTCAGTGGCCGGTCGCCAGCGTGTGACGCGTGGGTTTGGAGGGTGGGAGCGAGCTCAGCCGGGGCCCCTCCCGGGGGGCCTGGTTTTCTGGGGCTCTCTTCCACGGAGAGGGCTGACCTTGTCCTCAGCGGGGGGCGTCTGCGTGTCCCCAGGAAAACACCTGCCCGCCTGTGTCCAGGGGTCTTCCCGTGGGAAGTGTCACTGGCCTCACGGGGCAGGCAGGGTGCGCGTGAGGACAGAGGAGGCACTTCTCCCAGTTCCCAGCTCACAGGAGCTGGAGTCTCCTTCGCTCCCGGCTGTCTGTGCCGAGGGCCGCCACCGGACCCATGGTGTGCGGCTGCTGGAGAGGCCGCAGGGGAAGGGCGGGGACCAGGCTGGCTCTCCGACGCCCCTCATTCTCTGATGCTGGGGCTCAGGTGTTCACGCCGTTTGGGCCCTGAATTCGGCGTAGACTCTGTGTGTGTTTACAGGGGGAGGGGGAGGAGAGGGACAGGATGGCGGGAGAGGTGCCGTGGACCAGGGCACCTCATCCTCGCGTGTGGAGCAACGTGCCGCTTCAGACTAGCGTGGTGGTCCCTGTGAACGTGCTAGATTCTGACAGACATCTGTTGCCTTGGGGGAGTGAGCTCCCCGTCACCAGAGGCATTCAAGTGGGGGGGCTGCAGGCCATCGTGGCAGGATTGCTGCAGTAGACAGCCACCCAGCTCCCACTTCACAGGAAGGCGGCATCACAGAGGAAACCCCCACAGATCCTAAGCACACTGACTACATGGTGGCTGAGTCACTGTCAGGTGTTGGGGGCCAGGCAGGTGTCAGGGGATAAATACTGTGCGTGCCACTTGGAGGGGGACCAGGGTGACAGCCTCCTGCTCTGTCTGAGCCTCAACCGGGACACCTGGTGCGTCTCAGCTGGGCCTTCCCTTCTGGGACGGCCCTCTGTGGGCTGCTTCTCCTGGAGGCAGCCTTCCCCGAGGCGGCCGGTCAGGGCTGCACCCTGGGACCTTGCGTGTAACCCAGCGACCTTGCCTTTCAGGCCGAGGCAGAGACGTCCCCGGGAGCCTACTTCCTGCCCGAGTTCGCACTCTCGCCCCAGGGAAGTTTCCTGGAAGACACCACGGGGGAGCGGTTTCTCACCTATCGCTACGACGACCAGGTAAGGACCCCCGGCAAGAGCCTCCCGTTGTCTTTGCCGCTTGCCGATGGGTGGGAAACGGTACCTTCTAAAGGGTTTTCTATTTCCCCGTCGGCACGCCCGGTACCTCCTCAGACCCTCGGCGCCCAGGCCGGATCCCAAGAGGCTTGCGTGCAGGTTCGCACCCAAGGGCGTTGACTTGGGAGTCACCGTGTCTTGTTTTTGCCGGAAATATGTGACGGGTCCGTTCGTTTCAGCGCTCACCCTGCCGATCACCCAACGCTGAGACGTCCCGGGCGTCCTGCTTTCCAACTGAACCCTGCCTGCTCTGCCCTCTCGGCTGTGACCAGCACTCAAGCTGGTTCTCTGGCCGGGTCTGTGTTTCAAGAAGGGGCAAAGCAGGCATGCCTGTGTGTGCACACACATGAGTGTGGGCATGCCTGGGTGTGCACACACGTGTGTGTGTGTGTACACGCTTCCTGAAGGTGGGCACATGAAGAGTTCACCGTGGCGTCCCCGACAGGCACCGGGCCGGCAGCCAGGGGGGCCCGGCTGCCAGGAGGTCGCCTGCTTCCTGTCTCCAGGAGAGATGCTGAGACGACCTCAGTTTGCGGCCCCTCTGCATCGAGAAACCCACGGGCCGATGGGTGTTCCTTTGCGAACCTCAGGGGAACGAACTGAGAAAAAGAGGGTGTCTGGGACCCCACGGGCCGCATCTTTTTAAATGAAAGAGCGGTTGGTTAATGCCTTCCCCAGGTCCTGCAGATGCGCTGTGTTTCATGTAATAACGATACAAGAGCTGGGGAAAGAGCCGGGGAAGAGAAGTCCATGCGGAACTGAAAAACGTGTGGTGGAGGCGGGTGGGGGCTTGGACATTGTGCCCCAGGGCCCGGTGCTCCCGGCGGCCGGGTGAGTGGTGTGTGAGACAGAGCTTCTCCCAAGGGAGAGGACCAAGGTCAAATGCGGAGAGGTCAGTTGTAGCCCCCAGTCTGCGCTGCTGCAGCCAATGGGAACGGACCCACGTCCCCAAACCAGGGGCCTCCCCGGGGCAAACCTCAGAATACTCAGCCTGACGGTTGGCCCGTCTCCCCGCCCCGCCCCCCCCCCACCCCCGGCCTTGACGTTCTTTCCTCTCAGTTCTGAGCGTGCGGACCACACTCAGGAGCAGTCAGGAGCGTCTCGGGCACCGGGAGAAAGACAAAAATCTCCCCGTCCTGCCACGGCGCACAATAAAATGTCCCAACTGATTAGGAACACGGGCACTGGAGTCACCGCGTTGGGTCTGAATCCCGATTCTGACAGTTTACTTGCTGTGTGAGTTTGGACGAGTTACCTCACGCCCCTGTGCCTCGGTCGCCTCGTCTGTGAAATGGGGATGTGGATGGTTATCTGCCCCGTGGGGAATGTTTTGGGGATGAAGGGAGATGATTCACATAGTTCACGTCTCTCTGCTGGGGGGCCTGGTGCGTATAAACAATCTAGCTGCTGTTACTTCTTTTTTTTTAAAGATTTTATTTATTTGTTTTTAGAGAGGGAAGGGAGGGAGAAAGAGAGAGAGAGAGAGAAACATCAATGTGTGGTTGCTGGGGGTCATGGCCTGCAACCCAGGCATGTGCCCTGACTGGGAATCAAACCTGCGATGCTCGGTTTGCAGCCCGCGCTCAATCCACTGAGCTACACCAACCAGGGCCGGCTTGTCGGTTTTAAACAGCGTATCCAGCATCTCTGACCTCAGGTTCTTCATCGGTTTGTAAAACACGGAGTGGCTGGATTTCGTGCTCTGAACCCTCTGTGCTCTGCAAAAGCCTCGTTCTCGAGACCGCCGATGGAAGAGTCGCCGTTATGCAGCGTTAACTGGGTCATCCTGGTTCCCAGGGTGGGCTCGGCAGCCGCCCAGCGAGCTGTTCCCGAGGGAGTCGTTGAGGTTTCCGGCTGCGGGGGGCTGGGGCTCGGGTGCCTCCTCTCACACACTGAGAAAGCGGAGGCTCTGAGTGTGCAGATGACTTGCTCAGGACCCCCGGGCGGCTATGTGAAAAACAAAACAAAACAAAAACAAAAACCAAGACCATTGCCCTCCAAACCTCAGGCTCCCCACTCTGCTGCCCATCCCGCTGCCTGACTCTGAAGAATCATCTAGAAAATGACCTTGTTTCCTAAAGATTCAGATTCTACTGTTCTATAGAACTTTGGGGAACTTAGTCAACCCAAGGGGGGGGTGGGGCTAACATTAATGAGCCATTTTATCCGAGCACCCTTAACTCCTTCCGGAATTTGGAATTAGCTGTGCTGGTAGCGTTTATAAGCATCATTATCATCGCCATGTAAGTGATGTTTTTTTCCAGCGTCTGGGCAGAGCACGGTAGCTGAAATGAAAGCGGCAGGCGGGTGCCTCAGGAGTCCAAGACAGTTCAGATGCGTTACTTTGCAACAGCTGCACAAGGCGTGGGTGGTCGCAGACTGGTCGGCCGGCCGGGCGCTGGGGGGCACTCTTCCGTCCCTCCTCCCGGTGGGTTCGGGGATCTGCCCCGAGGAGGGCGTGTTCGCAGGCGGACAGCTGGGTGTCGGAGGGGTCTCCGCAGCAGAGCGTGGAATCCCCCAGTGTGTTCTGTCTCCCATCGCTGACCTCGTCCCTCCGGAGAGCTGCCCCACCCCCGCCTTTCTGGGCAAAAGGGGGCGATTCTCTGCCTCCTCGCCTTCCACCCGCTGCAGCTTTCGATGAGGGGCACCATCGGTGCTCGTGGGGTCTGATTCAAAAGTTCTGTGCTGGGCTTCGTGTTTCACAATTGGAAGTCACCAGAACAGCAGATAAGCTCTTTGTCTTACACAAACACTCTTTTTTGTTTTCATGTTTTTAGCTTTTAGCATTTGTGAGGTGCAAGGAAACGTGGAAGGTGCGTGGCGACCTCCCAGACTGCGTGGGCTGGCCGGGGCAGGCTTCTCCCCACCCCCACCCCTGGGCAGGTGCAGCGGGAGCCCCAAAACCCAGGACAGCGCACACTTTCTTAATGGTCTGTGGGCTGTCTGTCTGTGTGTGCCGTTGGTGTGGTGCTTACATTGCTGCCTGTAGGGTACGGGGCACCAGAAGGCAGGAAAAGCGTCAATAGCTTGGATTCCACGCTTGAAGGGCAAGACTGGGTGTTCACCTGAAGTGGTGGGCTCCGACGTCCCTAAAATTAACCTGGGGTCGGTTCTCATGTCGGCTCGGAGCCCCGTAGATGAGACCACCTTGATCTCAGGTTGCCGCAGTCCCTTCTACACCTGGTCGTGCCTGTCGTCCCCTCCCCGCTGTCGGCTCCCGCCAGGGAGCCCCTGAACGGTGCCTGCTTTGTGTCTCGTAGGAGCATTCAGGGCTGTTTCCCAAGCTCCACGTGCTCTGACCTGCACTCTGGTCTACCATGGCGTTTATACTTTCTCCTACTCGTTTGAGCTCTTAGAGTCTGTCTCCCAATATCTCCTCCTCCCACTGCCTCCCCTTCCCCTTCAGCGGGCACCCTTGTTAAGGGTTTCGGGCACTCCCCCGAATCCGGAATCGGGCTGGGTCATCATCCCACGTCTGTGAAAATCCTAAGGCGTTGTGACAGCAGCAGCAGCCGCATCACGGTGGACGCCTCTCCTCCTGGGAGGATCGTGGGTGGGCTAAACGCGTGAGTGCTCCGTTCAGAACTCCTGCCTCCTGTGCGCATTTTCGCTCCTATTTCCACGGCCAGGAAGCGGAGGGCCGGGTGTGTGGCCGTGACAGGCCCGTGGCCCTGCAGCGGGGCAGAGTTACAAGGCAGTCCGGGCGTTCCGACTTTTCAGGAGAAAGGAGGAGCTTCGTACCCGAGGCCACTCGGCCAGGCTGCGGCCGGGCCCACAGCCCGCGCTCTGCCCATCGGCTCGGCCAGGACACTTCCACCCCGGATGTACGGGGGGCAGAGGGACAAGGGAAATGTTTGACTGGGTGTTTTAATACCGGCAGTAACGAGAAGACAAGAAGGAAGTCTTTGTGTCGTCTCCTTTCTCAGCTTCTTCTAAACGCCTCTTTTTCCTGAGGCTGCTCTGACAGACTTCCTTTTCCTCGTCCCTCCTCCCGCTGTTGACTTATACATTCTTTCTAAGCAGAAGAAATCCGTTTGCCGTGAGGAGGTCTTTCTCAAAGTAACTTCTTCCGCACTTTTTTATGAATGTCTTGGCCGGGAGTTTCCTTGTGGTGAAGCTCTTGGCGGGCCCCAGAAATATCACTCCACGTTTCCAAGTTATTTATGTAATAGTTTTGAACTGGGGAAGTATGTACAACTTGGGAAACTTCTAGACGAGAAAGATGGACACGGACACGGGTCTTGGATCTGCTGTATAGGGCGCCGTGGTCTTCCTCGTGGACCCCAGCGAGCCCCTCCTGGGGTCCCCGCCCGGGAGACCTTCCTGTTGCTTCTGGCCTCGCGAAGGGTGTTTTTCAGCAGCAGGCCACTGGAGTCTGAACCGTTCATTCCTTTGTTAGTGACTCATCTCGGTCAGATGGAGTTATGTTCCTTAAATACTCCAGAGAGTTCATGGTCAGAGGAGCGAGCGGGCTCACGGTCAGCCACGAGACGAGACCACATTCCCTGGAACACCTGGTCACCGCCTGGTCCTCGTCCAGGCGCACAGCGGTCCCCGATCGGCTCTGGCACACGTGGACGCTGAACTCGGTCAGCGAACTGTGGTCAGCGAGCTGTGCGCCAAGTCAGTGACTTCCGGAGTGTGGACGAGTCCGGTGTCTGCGTGGAGAGGCAGCACCCGGCTTCTGAACTGTGCGGCCTCGTCTTCCTCCGAGGCTGTATTCCCGGACTCATCGGTGGGGCGCTGTGTGATACATATGTATTTTTTAAATCCACCTTCCACCAGACAGGTTGAAAGGTGGATGCACAGTGGGAGAGTTCAAGGCGGTCCCTCAGCGAGGTCAGGGACGTGGAGGGACAAGCCCCTTGCTGCCTGTGCCCAGACGTCTCCTCTCCCTGACCTCGGCCAGCTCCCTCTTGAAGACTTGGAGACTGTGAGTCCTG